GTTAGAGGCTAAGCAAGAGTAGAGCGCCGGGAAGTTAGAGAGAAACCTTTTTCTTGAGAGCTAGAAGAGACAGTTAATGAAAAGAAACAGAAAGAGGAAGAAAATCAATGGGAATTCAAATTCATCCTTTTGGATTTGAGAATTGAACACTTAGGTGACTTGGAAAACCTTAAATGACGTGCTTAAGTCAAACTAATATCGATAATTACTCAGTAAATTCTCTATCTTTGAGGCTAGGCAAGATTAGTTTGACTTAAAGTTGGCCACTTAAGCTAATGGAACAATTAGGGTCCCAAGCTGATTAGTTCCTTGAACGAAAGAGAGAAGGATGGAGAAGCACAGAGAAAGTTAGAGGGAGACTTTTATCTTGAGAGCTAGAAGAAGAGAAAGTTAGAGAAAAGAAAGAGAAGTAGGAAGAAAATCAAAGGGAATTCACATTCATCCTTTTGGAGTTGAGAATTGAACACTTATGTGATTTGGAAAATCATAAATGAGGTGTTTAAGTTAAACTAATATCGTTCAGCTACAGTTACTCAGTAAATTCTCTTTCTCAAAGGCAAAGCAGGATTAGTTTGAGTTAAACTTGGCCACTTAAACTAATGGAACAATTAGGGGCCCATGCTAATAAGTTCCTAGAACAAAAGGGAGAAGGATGGAGAAGTGCAGAGAACGTTAGAGAGAAACTTTTTTCTTTAGAGATAGAAGCGACAATTAGAGGAAAGAAAGAGAAACGGGGAAAAAAATCATAGGGAATTCACATTCGTCCTTTTGGGCTTGAGAATTGAACAGTTATGGAATTTGGATAACCTTAAATGCGGTGCTTATGTTTAACTAATATCGTTAAGTGGCAATTACTCAGTAAATTCTCTTTCTTAGATGCTAAGCAAGATTTGTTGGAGTTAAACTTGGCCACTTAAGCTAATGGAACAGTTAGGGTCCCAAGCGAATTAGTTTCCTAGAACAAAAGATAGAAGGATGGAGAAGCACAGAGAAAGTTGGAGATAAAACTATCTTCTTGAGAGGTAGACGAGAAAGTTAAAAAGAAAAGACAGAGAAATAGGAAGAAAATTAAAGGGAATTCAAATTCGTCGTTTTAGACTTGAGAATTAAACGCTTAAGTGATTTCAGAAAACTTGAATGAGGTGTTTAATGTTAAACTAAGATCGTTATGCAACAATGACTCAGTAAATTCTCAGGCGGAATTCAACTTCAACCTTTTGGACATGAGAATTGAACAGTTAGGAGATTTCGAAAACCTTAAATGAGGTGTTTAAGTTAAACTAATGGTTGTTAAGTTACAATTTTTGGGTGAATAAATTAAGTTACAGTTACTCAGTAAATTCTCTTTGTTAGAGGCTAAGCAAGATTAGTTTGATTTAAACTTCGCCACTTGAACAAATGAAACAATTAGGGGGCCGAGGCTAATTAGTTTCTCGAACAAAACAGAGAGAATGTTGGAGAAGCGCTGAGAAGTTAGAGAGAAACCTTTTTCTTGAGAGCTAGAAGAGACAGTTAATGAAAAGAAACAGAAAGAGGAAGAAAATCAATGGGAATTCCAATTCATCCTTTTGGATTTGAGAATTGAATACTTAGGTGATTTTGAAAACCTTAAATGACGTGCTTAAGTCAAACTAATATCGATAATTACTAAGTAAATTCTCTATCTTTGAGGCTAAGCAAGATTAGTTTGACTTAAACTTGGCCACTTAAGCTAATGGAACAATTAGGGTCCCAAGCTAATTAGTTCCTTGAACGAAAGAGAGAAGGATGGAGAAGCACAGAGAAAGTTAGAGAGAAACTATCTCCATCCTTCTATCTTTTGCTCTAGGAAACTAATTTGCTTGGGACCCTAACTGTTCCATTAAGTGGCCAAGTTTAACTCCAACAAATCTTGCTTAGCATCTAAAAAATAGGATTTTCTCAGTAATTGCCACTTAACGATATTAGTTAAACATAAGCACCGCATTTAAGGTTTCCCAAGTTCCCCAACTGTTCAATTCTCAAGCCCAAAAGGACGAATGTGAATTC